AATTTAGCCAGTTTCTGTGTTTCCTTATTGCCAGTGCTGCCTTCGAAAAGAGCCTTTCTGGGAGAACTGAAGTAGCCGGTGTACAAAAAAAAATCACGAGCCATTTTTGACAGCATCGGGAATATGGCACTATGGCTCTGCCACCATGCTAAAATATATGTTTCAACGTTATCGTTAAGATTTTTTTGCTAAAATTAGCATCGTTGTTGTTAATTTTTCCGTATTACATTTTGTATACGACGCGCGACGCTTTCTATGAAATAAAATATAGAAATATTATTAGCTTTATCTTAGAATGTAAAATCAAATGTTTTCAAGACAATGAATTTCAAGAGTCTTGCAAGACAAGACAAGACTTTGCCATTCAAGAAATCTGCAAGACAAGACTTTGAAAATGTCTTGTCTTGAATTTCAAGACAAGACAAGAAATTGATTTTCAAGACAAGAATTCTTGTCTTGTGCAACACTAGTTTAGGTAGATTTGACGATATGACGCGTGTTTCATATTAAATACCGATAGTACGAAATGTAAAAAAACCTTTCTATAAAAGATAGTAAAAAGAAAAGTAAAAGAAAATAGCAATATCCTAGAAACAAGGACATGTCTACATCAATATGCATTAGATGTATCTATAGTATGGTTTTTATATGAGTTTAATTCCATGGTCTTTGCAAAATAGACGCAACTATAATAAAACGCAAAGCAGTCAAAATTAATAGGTGAAACAGTAATAAAAAATACACGAATTTCTCTAATTTCATCAGTAGTATTTAGAATGTAACGAGTAACGTCATGATGTGAATCAGATTTGACGGAACTTATTTAATTTACATCTTTAAATAATCAAACACAAGAACTGACTTGCAATTATCTGTTATTGCCCACCGTTACTTTCTTTTATTCTACCCTAATAAATCTTATTTAAAAGCAGAGAAAGTATATTGGGATGAGATAACACCAAAAATTTAATTTAATGCTCTAAAGTCTTAATGCTAATGAAATAATTAAAATCTATTTTAAAATTGTTATTAACACCTTATTGAAAGTCAGATACGTAGTTTAGTTTTTATTTTGTATACGACTGAATTACGATAAATGTCAGTGGCGCACCTAGGATCAATTAGGGGGTAGGGATTTTAATATATCTGAGGGGCTGATCCGGCTGGAATTTAAAAAAATAATGGTCCCGGAAATATTAACGGTAAAAACCCTTCATTTTCAAGCTTGCTTCATCTACGTAACCATAGATGGTTTGGTTTAGTTAGGTACTGTGTACTCTCCAACTTTGAACTTTGCTGTTTGTGGGAACTTCAGCTACTTTTAGTGAATCCGAAGATGTCGCAAATAATATTGTGATGATGGCCTCTTAGTTTTCATGATTTTGAAAATGTTGCAGCGAGGGTTGCAGTTTCAGACACCTCTCGTAACTATATATAACGATATTTTTAGAACTTTTTGTATTTTTTCTCAATATTTTTGAAGTGAAACTTCTTTACGCGCGCTGGAAGTAAAAATTCAAGGTCGTGACACACAAGCTAGCGAGATGAAAAGTAGTATAGTAAGGATCGCACGATTGCGCAAACACCAAAAAACATTTGATTTAAAGCTAAGAAAGTCGTTATAATAAACTTGATACTGTACCTCTGTACCAGTATCCTCTCGTTGTGTGCTAGGAAGTGCATTGTATATTGTATATTCGTCGATATGTTTGTAGCTTCTGAATAACGGTCTAGGTAAAGCATCTAGCTTATTTGCTAGCTCAGAATTAGAATTATTAGAGTTAAGACCTCGCATTTTCATTGGAGGACATTGTCATATTTATTTCAAATCAATAATCAACGAGATTATTCGTATAATTTAACAAAATCACTGTAAATCACTATAAATAATAAACTAAACATGTAAACAAAAACAGAACACACGAATTGTTTGGTTTTCAAAAATTCTTCTCTTCTTAAAAACATTTTAAGGAGCATTAATAGTCATTTGCATAAAAATAAATAATAATAAGCAATAAATTGGAAATAGTATTTATATTTAAACAAAATTATATGTCACGTTTACAAACATGTCCTTCAAATCCTTCGATTTAATCAGTGACCGACTAAGCCTGTCGAGGGCTCGGGGCGGCGAAGCTGAATGTGGCCCCCGGTCTGTTTAGATAATGATATACTTCTAAAGCACATTTGGTAAAAATTGAATATGTATAATGGTTGACAAAATTGAAATATTTATACAGGGTGTCCCAGGCTGAGCCTGCGTTAGAAGTTTCTAGAGAACTACAATATCTAAGTACGAGATTTTGTGCATATCATTCATCATCAATCACAATGAGATCTATCGATTAAAAATATTTTCAATATGGCGGCGCTTCCGGAAATACCGGAAGTTGACAGCAACTTTCTTATATTAAATGGGTGACCCCATTTTTTATTGCATACTTAAATTCTCTGTAAAATTTTATGAATTTTGATATTAAACACTCTATACTTAACGTTAACCGTTTCTGAGAAAAAAAAATATTTATAATTTTTAGAGGAAAAAAAACTGCCTGTAAAAAATATGTATATAACCTAAACGTCAAATTTAATGATTGCCACAGCCACTGTACCATAAAGAGAAGACATGTCAAAAATTAAATTGTCCGAATGTCATATAATAATGGCCGCAGCTGTCATGGAATTGCGCGATTAAAAAATTATTATAAATCATTTTTTTTTTTCAAATGGAAATCCACTTTTATTATTTCACTAGTGAAAAGGCTGTCGTTACTTTCGTTTTTAAAATTTGTTACTTTTTGACTATACATGTTCCTGTACCTAAAATAAATCGTTTTTAAGTTATTTAAGATTTAACTTTAAAGCGTATATTTTTCTTGATTTTAACCAGTAGCCTATGACAGTATATTATCGATCATTATTTCCAAGCTAACTTTGCGCTGTTTGTTTTTTTGATCGTACGGTATATTATTAAAATATCAACTATTAGATATCACTAAAGAACGAAAATACGAAATATATTTATATAAATACTCTTTTTAAACTTTTAAGGCAAGCAGTAGTTATAATATAGGAAATTCAAATAATTCATTTTCTGACAGATGGAAATAAATTGTCTGACTGAAAAAAAAATATTTATGATAATTTTTTAATCGCTCAATTCCATGACAGATACCGCCATTATTATATCACATTTGAATAATTTAATTTTTGAAATAGATAGCCACATGTCTTTTCTTTATGTCACAAGGGCTATGATAATCACTAAATTTTACTTTTAGGCCGTACAAATTTTCTGGACAGGTAGTTTTTTTTTTCTGGTACAGGTATATATGACAAAAATTAACTAGATGAAATCAATGCTCAAAATGCTTCCTTTCCTGTTAATTCCATAAAATGATTGTCTTCTCAAAAGGATCTTTTCATTTTAAAAGGCATATGTGAAGTTCTACTCTTAAGTTCTACGTCTTCTTCTCTCATGTTAAGCAAAATAATAAAAAAAATGTTTTGTAAAAAAGTTTATAATCATCTGCTGATGATGCTAACATGGTTAGCAAAACGCGCGTTCCGTGTAAAAGTCAAAGTGTTTTGGTGTATTGTGGTGATTTTGTTTTATTTTGCTGTGTAACACCAAAAGGTCCAACCTTCAACTGTAATCTTCTCTCATGTTGTCGACAATATAGTTGGTCGAATTTTGTAAACACTGTCTTTAACATATATCCCAATAAAAAACAGACTAGGAGCATTTAAGTATTCTACTAATTTTTTTTATTAATTTAAGTATTCATATCAATTCTCTCTGATGTAGTATAACTTTGCATTTTAGGCAAATTACTGAGAATTTATTTTTAACTGACACAAAATATGATAATTAGTTGTTAAAGTTGGACTAATTAGACAGCTATGTTGAAGTAACGTCATACATATCACAGCCACCCAGAATTTATCAAATAATATAGATCTACTCAGATCAAATCATGTAAATGATTGACACGATATATCTAGGAAAATCTTTGTTTGAGGAGTAGGCAACCTTAATAGTATTTTAAAGTGACATTCATTATCCATTGAATATCGGAATAATATGCTGTGTTCCATTTAAAATAAAAGAGTAACATGCTTTTAAAGGTGACCAATGTTCAGTATTAATTTTGTCTCATCCTGTATAATTTTTGGATCAAGTTTCAATTTGATTTAAAGTACAATAGTTAATTTAACTACATATTAGGCTACACCGGGTAAATTCCAATTTAGGTAGCTTTTATTGTAATTTAAAAATTGTTCTTTATTTCTAGAAAACACTGTATTTTAGTCATATACTTCTGTTATAAAACTCACCATTATTTTTCTCCTAGAATCTGAAAATCAATTAATATATAGGGTGTTCCATTACAAAAAACACAACTTTGATATGTAACTTTTTTTGGGGACACCCTGTAGAACTCTCTATATTTTAAAAAAGTGCTCTGAATTCACCTACACTTGCTCACAAAATTTCATTTCAATATGAACTGTCATTCTCCTTGAAGCGTCCGCGGCGTATGAGAGGCGCCACCCTGTATGAAAATAATTTCTTTTTATAAGATTTTTGAAATATATAATAGTATGATCCTATTCCTATATAAATTCTAACCTATGATCATCATTAAATGAATTTAAATGGACCATGTATTCGTTGGTGATATATATGTTAAGCCGAATTTGTGTAATTGCCGATTTCATAAATTTAGCAAATTTTTGCCGAATTCGCGAAATAGGCAGCATCGCTGCGCATTTCATGTAATAGGCAAAATAATGTCCCAATACATGAACTGGGCATATAATCTTTTGCCGATTATTTGAAATAGGCAACCAGCGCACGATAACAAATGAAAATTATAAAAATTGGAGGTTATGTTCATGTTTAATTGAAATTTGATTGTTTGTATTATTTGGAGTTTTGAGCGACGTAAACTATAACAGATTTTTTACTTTATATTAATGTGTTGCGACATTAAAACATGACTGAAACCGGTATAAATAGTAAGATGTGGAGTGAGGAATACGAAAAAAAAGTAATCCGAATTTTGCAAGGTTGTGAAAGTGTCACTAAAAACAGAGAGTACTACCATATTAAAAGTTCGTTCAAGCTAGAAAAGTTTGCTGGAATAACAAAGATATGTCGAAAAAAAGACAATAAAATAATGACTACCAAAACAAATGCATGGCAAATCATTCGAGATTTGCATAACGCTTGTGGACATAAAGGAGAGAAAAAAACCTACAAAAAAGTTGCAGAACATTATGCTAATATACCAATGGTTATAATAAAACAGTTTATTGAACAGTGCGAGAGGTGCACAGAGAAAACAAAAAAAGTATACAGTACAGGAATTGTTGTTAGACCCATAATAAATAAAGATCTTAATTCCAGAGCACAAATCGACTTAATTGATTACCAAAGTTTACCTGATGGTCAATACAAATTTATTTTGCACTATAAGGAACATTTAACAAAATATAGTATTTTAAGACCGCTAATATGTAAATGTGCTGTTGAAGTAGCCAAAGAACTTTTAAACATTTATTTGGATTTTGGAGCTCCGACTGTTCTACAATCCGATAACGGTAAAGAGTTTACTGCAAATATAATCAAGGAGTTAGGGACTCTCTGGCCTACCTTAGTTCTTGTGAATGGGAGGCCACGGCATCCACAAAGTCAAGGAAGTGTGGAAAGAGCAAACGCTACTGTAGAAAATGCATTAGTGGCTTGGATGCGTGACAATAAGACTTCTTCTTGGTCGTTGGGCCTAAAATTTGTGCAATGGGGTATTAACACAACTTATCATGATGCTATAAAAATGGAACCAAACAAAGCTATGTTTGGTCAGCCAACAAAATTAGGCTTAGGTTCTAAGATACCACAAGAATTTCTTGCTGCGATATCCAACGGGATAACAGAAGAAAATATGGATGAAATATTAAAAATACCAGATAATGAGAGTTGTAAGGAGAATGACAATGGACATGAAATAATGAAAGATACAATGCCAGAAAATTTTGAAAAATATAATATAGAAGAAGACATCTATAATCAAGAAGTTACAACAGACACACTTCTGTGCCGACTGCTGGTTTTGGTGAAATATCTAAAGAGGATACAAAAGAATTTACACCAGAAACACAGATAGAAACCGTTCAAGATGAAGAAAATACAGAAAATTATTTAACTTTGCAGGAAGTATCTACTACTGAATTTCCTAAAAAGAAGGAAAATTAAGAATTGGTACAAAACATGGCATTGTGGATAACTGGTTAGAAAAAAATTCCCTGCAACCTACAAAATTTAAGAGATTAATATTAAGCGACGTGCCTGATCATGAACACAATATTAGAATGCTTGTTCGTAAAAGTTCAGTGGGTTCCGGACAAGGATATAAAAGATGCAATTGCACCAAAACATGCAACTCAATGAGGTGCAAATGCCTAAAAGCTGGTTTCATGTGTAATTCAGCTTGCCATGCTGGAAGAAGTTGTACTAATACTTAATATTTAATAAACATTAAGTATTAGTACTAAATAATATTTAGATATGTAGGTACCTATATTAAATAAAAATGTAGATACATAGATATATGTTTTTTATTTAAAAAAAAAAGTTTAAATCTGTGACTATATTATAAAGTCAAGGATGGTCTTTGCTTACTGCTTGAAATGGACAAAGTTAAATTTAATAATTGCCTATTACCTGAAATGCGCAACGATGTTGCCGATTTCGCGAATTCGGCAAAAATTTGCCGAATTCATGAAATCGGCAGTTACACAAATTCGGCGTAACATTATACTTGTTAGATCTTAGAGCACTGTCGTTAAACAATTTTTCTTGACAGTTAGCTTTGAATGAGCATGGATTATATCTTCTCTATGTAATATTAGATTAAAAAAAAATCCAAATAATAAAACAATTCTTTCAAAATATGAATTCTATTTATGTTGAGTAATTTAATTTATATTGCTATTTTGCCTGTTAAGGCAGAATTCCACGAAACGGACAAAACCGTGACATAACAGACACTCTGTCGTTTTCAACAAAACAGTAACTGGAGTTTCCAAAATGAGGAACGTTTTGGAAATTTCAGGTCAAGATTTCAATCAAAGATTAAAGATTTTTTGTGTTTTGTCTCTGTTTTTTCAATCAGAGATCGTTTGATGAAAACGACACTCGGTGAGTTTTCTTAGTTGAATCCCCGGGCGCATCAAATCATTTAGAACAATTATTAACAAGTTCCCAAAGTTGCAAATAAAATTTAAAATTTGAACTGTTTCTAGTTCTAGTAGTACTTTAAAATTTTGAGGATCTCGATAAATGCGCCACTGCCCAAATTAAACAATTTTGGTTAGCAATAATTCATAAACTATATCGTATAACTATTACATATGTTGGCAATATAGCGAGTTATATTATGTCATCTAAATCACTAAAAGTGAAGATTTATGATTTATATACAACGAAGTTACAGGGAGTCAAAAATATTGTGAGTTGCATCGAAGAAACGATTATACAGTTGTGTTTTACGAACGTTTCACTACTTTATTTAAATACCGGGTGCCTCTCAAAAGTGGCATTAATTACAACCTCTATAATTTTTTTATTTTTTTAGTTAAAAAAACGAGATTTGGTATGTTCGTATAGATATGACATAAATTAGGATTTATTGACGGGTTCAAATGTTTCCAATCACTTCCTGTTTCACCGGAAATGACTACAACTTTTGATTTTTAAATGGCACCCTTCATATTTTTTTACTTTATTCGATAGAAAATAACACTCTGAATAGAATGACATATCATATGTTCAACTTTTGACATTTTCGCATACAGCTTATTTGGAATTATAACTTGCGGTTCATAACGAAAATTTGACTCGAAATACCAAGTGTGTGGTATCAAATTATTCGTAAAAAATTTGTTTTTTCCAAATATTTTGGGCATCTTTTAACCGGCCAGGACGAGACACTAAAAACATTAGATGATCAAATCTATTTTTCCATGGCTCCTTGATTAAGAATTAGTGTTTTTAACATAGACATGGCACTCCAGATTGAAATTTAAAATACAATTTTTTAATAACCGAGAATAAGAGGATTTTAGAAAAATATCACATTTTTGCCTTTCATTCACCATTTAATATTTTTCCCATTGACATGGGTATAAGGTACTGTGATTTTTATTCTGTTTAAGAGTGATTTGAGTGTTAAAGGTTAAATCACTATTTTTTTTTCATAACCAAATGAATGTCTGATGGTACAAGTGGTGATTTGTTAAATAATTAAAAACATCTAAAACTGCTAATAATCTCTATTAATCTAGTTAACAAGAACATATTGTATATATAAACATAACATATCATTAAATATTTTTATTACCTCACTTTTTGCACGAGCGTGTTATAATAATGTCAATTAATTTAAGCAATTTTCAACGTCATAAACAAGGAAAAAAGGCGTCATTATTTCCGCAATGAAATGCTTCTTGGCGTTTTTTTCTCATTCATTACCACTGTGGCTTATGTGATTATTAGGGAAAAGAATTACGTATTTAGAAAATAAAACAAGTAAATTCGCATTTTATATGAAACATTATTGTGACAAAAACTTTCTACACTTTACTTTTTGTTCTGTTAGCTCGTATAGAAGTTCAACATTAAACGTCATAAAAATATAGGATAACAGAAACATTTTCAATGTTAAAAAATCTTTGTCAAAAAATCTTTATCACAAAATATTATTAATAACGAAATGACTTACAGAGCAAAAATTCGGGATCCTACATATTTAGTTGAAGCAACTAACAAAGATGATTGATAACCAAAAAAACATAACCAAGAAAAACAAAAAAGATATTGCATATATCTGCATCCCTTGCTATAAAGGTATTAGCGAAGGGTGTCACACTATTGGAATTATATATACATACATATACATATTCTTGGTAGACGCTGGCAGTCGTTGGCATCAGTCGATTATAATTATATGGCAGACATCGGTAGTCTTCTTCGCAGTCATTGGCAGTCGGTAAGCAGTAAAATTATATTTTGGCAGTAGATATATGCATAGATATATGTACATGTCTTATCCAAGTGAAACACCCCTCGGGTGTTAGTAACAAGTAAATAAATGAAGGTTTCAAACAAGTATCAAATTAAAAATAGTTTTTACGGCTTCAGTGAACTTAAGATATGTTTTACGCAAAACTAAACCTTATCAAACGTACCAAAGACTAACACAACTATATTGGATGTAATGTAAGCTTAATTGCTTTATTTTTAAATCACGGCATCAGTAGTTTTCTTGATTATGACCATCCTAATTAAAAATAAAAAAAATATCCTAATGTCGATAATACTTATACCAGAATATCATAATACCAGATGTATTAATATTTAATAATTAAGATGCCAATGACAGTGAATAAAAATCGACGTCTCATTGAGGTCATATCAAAGTTGAAACGTCAAAGTGATATTACATCAACATTCTGATAGGCTGAGCAGCTTTTTTCAGCGTCTTTGGAACCAGAAAATATTTTTACTAGAATTTATATAGGGGTAGGAGTAGTTTTCACCCTTCTCGTACCTTTTCAGTTTTTTTTGCAAAAGTCAAACATAAAAGCGCCTAGTAAAACATAATACCCTAAATCTTATTCAAATCGGAATATTGGTTCATAAATATCTTAAAATATGTGTTTATTTTTTAAAAGTTTGATGCCCTCTAACTGACAAACAAAGCACTTTTGAATAGAGGTAAATTGTGTCCAGCGATCTTATTTTGATTCGAAATATACGTAGTAGGACTATGTCCACGGAATATTGAGAGATCCTGTATAATTTAGTGTATATAGTACTTTGTAGTGCAAGGGGGAGGGGTCAGTTTAGAAATTATGCTTGCCGAGAATATCCACACCAACAACCATTAACATTATTATTATTATTAGGTACCCAGTTATCCAGACTATGAACAACTTCATTCAGAAAACTGGCATTTCTACTGGAATTTGGCGCCGATCTTTTTTCGAATATATATGATTAAGGTACATCATAATTTTTACCATATGGTATAAATCATAGCTCATTAACACAACAGCCGAACGATTTCAATATTTCGTGGCACACACTTCACTAATTTTAGTTGAGTACTAATTTTAAAATTATCCTTTATTAAAGCTCGGATATGTTGCAAGTATCTGTTACGTCTGAGCATCGATACCATCAATACAAAACATTTTTTAAAACAACTCTTTCTCTCAGATATAATATTTTTCGTTGCGTAATTATTAAATTACTATAATTCTCATACAGTACAGTACTTTAGCACGATTTTTATCAGTTCTAAAAGGCGAGGATGATCGTATCGTTTTTGGTAATGTAATATTACAGATGTTACGATACTGGGAGCGATTTAAGAGAACCACCGATTTATAAAACTATTGCAATCCCCAAAGGCAAACCATTATTTACCTTGTCTAAATATAAATCCAACTCTTTTCATAATATTTGCATGTTAACTACTTTCCATTGTCAAAGTACTAATATTTTATTAAAGGCATATACATAATAAATAGTTCTTTGCTAACCATGACGATCACTGTCTCAATAAAAAACTTCGAAACACTTTAATGAAGTTAGTATATAAAATAGTATCCATTTAAATGACATTTGTTCCTCATATCGTTATTAATATTTCAGATTTAAAGAAACATGTTGGGGTCAACAATTAAATTTGATTTTAATTTTTTTATTTCACGATATATTCATTATTTAATAAGTATTTAATCCTTGAAAGGTGAATATCACCTGTTTGTTTAAGTGGGCAGGAAGTTTACCAACAATACTAAATTTTGAAGTGATTTCATCTTCAAATAATAATTTTCAATGGTTTGACATTCTATATGTACTTAAATCATACTACTTGTAACACTTATGTATATTCCTGGTTTGACTGTAATTTACACTTACATCCACTTTTTCTTGCTATCCTGCTATTAACAACCTAAACATTTTTATTTTCTATTATGCACATACATATGTTATTTTCCTGCTTATTTTGCATACGTTTTATGTGTTCCAAAACATTTAGCAATGTTGAAGTGCTAAACAAGGGAGACATTATTACTACAGATTGTTATGGTATCT